ATATGCTTCTATCTCCCTTCTTGAATAATGGGACCACTACTGCTTTCACCCAATCTTCTGGAACTTTTTCTGCTTTCCATATTTCAACGAACATTTGATAAAGATATTTTGCCAATGTTGTACCACCCGCTTTGATCATTTCTGCATGAATACCATCTATCCCTGCCGCCTTGTTGTTTTTCAATGCTTTAATTGCATCAGTTATTTCTCTTTCTGTTGGATATGGTTCTTCTAAGTCACTTTCCTGTTCATCCAATTTCAATAATGTTTCTTCTGCCAGCTCCTTTCCAACATTAAGGAGACCTTCAAAGTGTTGTCTATTTGAACAATTGGCTGTTTGACCATCTCCTTTACCAATTGTTTGCCATTTATGGAACAGTTTTACCTTTTTTTCTACCAAACTCTCTACTTCATTGTTGAACCATCTTTTTTTGTTTTTCTTCTTTTTACCACATACTTCCAGAGCACTTGATGTTGTTGCTTCTTTCAGTATTTCCCAGTTCTTCTCCAAATTTCCAGCTTCGTCCTTCAATGAAGCAAATTTGTTTGCTAACTTGAGCTCAAAGTCTATTCTTTTTTCTGGATTCTGTAACTGCACTACGTCTGCTTTAACGACCTTGTTGTCATTTTTCATTACCTTCAGTTTGATCTTTATTTTGGATAAGAGCAAACGATGGTCTGTATTCATAAAATCTGCTCCTCGATATACTCTTGTATCTTCAACTGATGTTCGCCATCTTCGATTTATCAGTATATGATCAATCTGACTCTTTGTACCCTCTTTATTACGACTATAATGAGTGTACTTGTGTACATTCTTATGGCTAAAGAATGTACTTGTAACACTTAAATTATGCACCAAACAGAATTCCAGAAGTCTTAGACCATTATCTGTTGTCTCTTCACCAATAATTCCACATTTTCCCATTACCTCTTTCCATGTTTCATAATCATCACCCACTCTTGCATTAAAGTCATCCATTATTACCAGCATATGACGCTTTGGTATTCCGTTGACTAAGACCGCTTACTAAGTTCTCTAACAAATGCTCATCACGTCTGTCGGACTTAAGTCTTCCTGTTTCTCTCATATCCTTACAATCCTTTATTTGGATTCAGTTGATTGAGCATGTAGATGCAGTTGCTGGTGCAGCCAGATAAATATGCCAATAAATTGAGCCAATTTTGCTTGGGTAAGTGAGTGGTGCACATTGTTTTCCATCACAGCTTCTATATAAGAAGAAGTATCTACTAGAAATTCGCTCGCAAAAAACTGTGAAGTATGTCGGTAGGAAAAATACAGAAAAACCGGCACTGAGATATCTTGAAGGGAAAACAGTAGAATTCATACGGCTTTTTTGCCATGTAGTCTTCCTATATTCTTCTTAACGCGAACGTGTGCTTGAACACATGATTAAAGAAATACATCATCTCTCCTTTGCAAGTGGAAAAGCAATAGCAATTGAAACATAGCCTAAAGCTCGGTGAGCTGTTCGATGCATTGTACTCGTGAGTGATTTCCAAAATAGTAAGTTGTGATTACTTTTACTTATGAACAAAAAACAAAATGCTGTAAAATACAACGAAAATACTGAACGTTACGTAGGGTTTATAGCACCTTAAAAAATATTAATCAGGTTTAAGTAGCCAGTCCATTTTAGCAAAAAATGTAACATTTTTACTTGTAACGATTATTGATTAATTTTTCATCGGTGGTTTTCTACATGTACATTTGTTCGGGAAGAATCCACTCAAACATACATTTTCGTATTTGTAATTATACAATTTGACCGGATTAGGAGATGGACGACAAGTCAATAATTGGCGGCGAGCTGTTCCAAGTGCTTTTTCATTATCCTGTATAACAAATGGAAAATGTTTATATGACGAAAGTTTAAGCCGACTTTACCTTGAAACGATTGTACAATAGCATCGATGCCTTTGCACCTTGAGTCGCATTATGGCCTTGAGGTGAGTTCAGTTGAATGCCCAACAAGGTTGATGCTTCGTGAGCCAATGAAGTAACTTTGAATAAGACGCTATCCACGAGAAGGAGTTTTCTTATGTTACCATATCTGGGATTATATGCTTTGAACATTTCCGCCAGATCAATTATTCTTGAATAATGAACTCCTTGTTGTAGTTGCAACCACTTTATGTCACTCTTTAGACTTTGACCAACCAAAAGAACGTTTGGCGGTTTGCTACTGGGTATACACATGAAGATCGTTATCCAGTATCTGTAAGTGTTATCGATGGAAAAGATCAAGTGTTGTATGCAGGGTCGCAAATAGGGGTCGAACATGAGGGGGGTGTAAACCAAAATTTCTCTCTGAGGTAGTGTGAAATTGATAAAAAAAAATGCGAATCTTTTAAAACAGTCATAGTACGGAACAAAAAAATTCCAATTATTCGGGGGATGCGCAGAAGGGGGAAATTAGAAAATCGAAAAAAAAAAAGTCGCTGTTG